CAGCCAGCCAGCCAGCCAGCCAGCCAGCCAGCCAGCCAGCCAGCCAGCCAGCCAGCAAGCAACAGAAAATTAAGTGAGACGTACCTTTCTGACTTTTGAACGACTTTTACTAAATAGCTGCGCTTGTGCAGCTATCAATCCTTGTCCAGTTTTTGTCCCACTTCCTCTAAAAGGGATTTCACTAATCGCCTTCAGGGTACTTTTGAGATACTTATGGCTACCAAATGTCATTTGCACATGCGCATTATTCGAGTAGGTAACGACTCCCACACGTGTCATCGTAGGGCCAACATCAAAATATGATACAATGTTTTTCACAAATTGTAGAAATCGAGCGAAGTTTTGAGAGTCCTCGACATTGATGCTATGGGAGCCATCGATGACGAAGCCAAGTTCAAGCTGTGTGTAGCACTCTGCAGGATTTGAAAAGAATTATATAGATGCTCAATTAAAAGGTAAGTGAAAGAATTTTTTTTGTATTTATTGACTGGTTTTACTTGACGTCATTTCCTGTCTCGTGTAGGACGTTCAGCTGCACCGAAAGCCAATTTGTGAGGAATTTGATGCTCAAATAAATGGTAAGCGAAATAATGTTTTGACTGGTTTTCACTTGACGTCATTTCCGGTCTCGTGCAAAATGTTTATCAAGCTAAATCACGAGTTTTCAATAGAATTCTTTCTGACTGACAGCACATAGTGGTTGGAGCAGATACAAGATTCAGTTCAATAATGGTCAACACCCAGTTTACGTCTGTTTAGTTGGGACGCGCTAACAGGTGAAGTTACGCGTATAAGCTAAAGCGTTGCAAGTTTTTGAAGCTGTATCAAAAACGTGCAACTTGTTACTGCTATTTTCAAAAACATGCGAACTCGGTAGCTGCGAGCTGCACGCTGAAATTTGGTAGTCAAAAAGATGAAAGGTACCAACTGATTAGTTTTGATTGACAGCAGCGAAAAACCAAATTTCAGCGTGCTGCTTGCAGCTACCGAGTTCGCATGTTTAGTGATTTCAGTGATTTCTTTTCCGAAAATTGTTGCACGTGACATGTGACGATGCATCAACTTTTCGTGCGTCACGAAAATTCATCGTCAATCGTCCTAAAAAATTATCAATTTATAATAGTTTTTTAAATGCATTATTCATCAATCAACCTAACTTGTTCAGTGACACTTTATACAAGAAAATAATGGAACAAATCATATTATCTATCTTTTGAGTCCCCTTTTTTTCTTCAAGATTTCAAAAGTTTTATTAATATAGTTCATTGACCTAGGTGTTTTGCGATTCAAATAGTTACAAACAAGCGATGTGGATTTAAATGATTGCACTAGAAATACAACCAGATCAAAAAATTCGGTTTTTATGGTACTTACTCGGCTGACATTTCTTATATCCTGACATACACCAACAACTATAACACACAGAAAAGTAGCTCAAAAAAATCAGCAGCCCAATCCAGTGCATTCTGTTGAACTCGTCTGTACGTTTTTATTCCCGAAGAATACGCGAAGTGTCAAGGAAATTAAGTCGTCTGATTGTCGTTTGTTTTATTTTACTTTCCAAAGTAGGAGTTTTGGATTAGAGATAATAATATTTATATCAAATGGCAAGATGGTTGGTTATTCTTAAGGAAGAGAAGGAAAACAATGCATGTCTTAAGAATGAATAAGAAATGAATTTTTATCCTTTCAATTATTGGCGATATTATTTTGGTCCTTTATTATATCTGGCTTTCCTTTCTTTCTACGTACATTTAGCTTTCTTGTCTATTTTTGACTTTGTTCATGGCCTAGATTAATTAATTGCTTCAATATTCTGTCATAACAAAGTCCTTATCCTCTTAGACCCTCGCACGTTCAAAACTCGTCATGAATAATTTATTTTTGTTGAAGTTGGTCACCCGTCACTTTTACCGACACTAAAGCAAACAATGGCCTGACCAGTCTTCGTATAAGCCTTTTCATAGTTTAAGAATCGATTTCACTGCGCATGCGATTTTATCCCGAATTTCTCACCTTCTTTTGTTTAATTAAGAACAAAAGAAGGTTTAGACACAAGAAAGTGAGAAATTCGGGATAAATTCGCATGCGCAGTGGAGTCGATTCTTAAACTATGAAAAGCCTTATTTATTAGATTTATCCAAAGGGATCTGAAAGTAGTGACGTAGAAATGACGTAAGCAACGTTATTGTTTTCCATTTAATGTTTGGAAATCAATAATTTCAAGAGGAAAAACGATACCTCAGTTTTGCAAATTTTCTCAATTCTAATCTGGGTAACATTTCCTTTCGGATCGGCTGCTTTGTCTTTTTATTACTGTCAAATATTTGATTAATAATGCCATCTCGAGAGAATATTTTTGGTTAATCGGTTTTGGGAAGTGGCTTCCTGTCCACCATGTCCCCACAATTCCATTAAGCAATGCTTCGTGTGGGTTTTATCATAAAAAAAGCTGTTACCATTATGGGCATGAACCCTTGATTTTATTCAAAGCCGTCGCTAGGAAAACTACCGACAACGCCCAGTAACTAAAGGACTCTCCTTAGCAACGTGAACGTCATAGACAAGTTGAAGAACGTCAAACTGTAATTAAGATTCCAAAAGATCAATTGATCTTTACGTTCATTCGTTCTTTCATTCCACCCATTAATCTTAACCTCATAAAGCTATTAAACTAGTAGTCCCTTTAATTTCCAAGAAACGACCAATAAGTATTGAACTATGAATCTTAACCCGTTAAACTAGCCAAAGTCTTCCCTACAAACGCCAAGCTAGTATTGACGTCAGAAAAACAGGATTTCAAAATATATTCCGTTATCGTAGCAATAGAGAAATTTTTTTTTCGGATTCGTTATTGATACGTCCGAGACAACACCCAAGGTTTCCATGGTATTAGTATATATGGTTATCTTATCGCGCAGCCTATAAATGCCGACTATTTTAAATGGAACCTTGAAGCTGGTGCTTTTGTTATATCGTACCACAAGCAATGGCATTTTTAAACGACATCTTTCATCGAAATGTTACGTTGATGAACTTCAACATTTCAATGCATATAGCCACCAAATATGAAAATCGCTTACGACTATATCAAGGATATACTGAAAAACTGCTTGCTTCTCTCTCRAGAAGTTACGATAGCAGTAACGTGGACTCTCAACCCAAATGGATATTTATACCACGCTGTTTGGTACCTCTCGCTATTCAGAAGGTACAGCCCGGTAGAGAAGTCAAGCAGCCCACTGAAGGACCCAAAATTACACACTACGTTCACCACAATGGTACGTTTCTCTAATGTAAATCTTCGAATTTTACATACCATTTCAGAAAATGGTGTACTCAACTTCGACTCATTAGAAGAAGAGACTTTAGGGTTGAGCAGGAACTTAGCCACCAGTGGATATTACACCAGCAAAAAGAAGAGGAAACAAAGGAGGGTGATGAGGAGAGCTACCATAGTGGAAGACCGAAACATGAAGAGTTATGCGAGTCTACAGAGTCAAGACAAGCAGAAGAGGACGAYTATTATGAAACCTTGCGCAAGTCCCTCTGTCAGGGCTTGGTCATTCTTTCGCACAATGGTCGGTAGCTATACTTCTTCAACCTATGAAGTAACGTAACTTGTTAGTCTATAAGAGATATGAGTAGACACTCTACTCTCTACCTTCCAATACCCATAATACTTTGGGGGCTTTGGGGGACTCATGCTGAAGGCTGATCAGACAATGTTGAAAATATACCTCGTTTGATATCCAGATATAAAATGAAACAGTATACGTATGAAACACAGAAAGATAAAGCAGTTTAAAGCAAATTTTATTTAACATTTCTTCGTAAGTCATGAATCAGTACATTATTGTTTCTGTAATGCCAAATCTTATATATATATATATATTTATGTATTGTAGGTGATGCCTGTAAACTCTCCGGCATTCATGGTCTTGTCATTGCCATTTTGATATGCTTCCTGGTATTGAGATGCTCTGTGATTTTGTTTCGTTAGATGCTTTCCTATATACCCGATAGGTCATTGAAATATTTAAAGTGGACGAAGTTGAACTTCGCTCATCTAATTTCCTGCCGAGTTTCTTTGGCTGCTTGGAAAATCGTTTTTCAACTGTGGAACTGTAAGTAGTGCCCTCCTGGTAATTTCCATTTGATGAGGTTTTCTTATTTAAAAGCTCATCAACTGATTGGTGTACTGAAAACTTGTCATTCGTAAGACGTTTTCCGCTAGACGAGGTTTTCTTTCTGTATTCTCCCGTTTTGTCGTCAACCTTGTCATCATGGCTGCTTTCAGTATTCTTCGTGGAAGGACGCTCTTGGTTTTCATCATTGCTTTCAGCAACTATTTCAACCTCTTCTGGTTTGTTTTCTTGGACTTTGTTTTTCACTTTAATTTTATTCTCGGCATCACCTTCGTCTTTTACGATTCTTCTTCTATTATTGCCATTCTTGGTACCTATTTCATTAAGAACGAAAACACTACCAACCTCCAATTCGTCGTTTTCATCATATTTGAACACAAAGGGTATCTTTAAAAGCTTTAAAACCGAGTTTCGAAATCTGAAACGATAGAAAGAATTTATTTACTTTCGTTAAAACATTTTCTTTTTCAAATTTCTTGTCAAACTTCTTTTTATGTGTTCAAAAAGTGGCAGTGTGCGCGCGGTACTGTTGGATATAGCTTCAATCGTGCTAAAGGAGAGGAGAAAGGGGCAGCGGCCCATTTTTTATTTCTTAATCGTAGAAACATTTTTTACAGAACAATATGTAAACATAGGTTTTTGGCTAGTTCTTTAACCTTCTTCAGTAAAAGTAAAAGGGGTCACCGATAAATAAATGTTTTCTTACTTTGGGTTCACGATAGCATAGATAAAAGGGTTGCATATTGCACTGGTCTTGGCTAACAACGTCGGAGCCATTTCTATTTCTGGGCTGATTGAAGATTTCTTTCCAAACATGCAAATTACTACCACAATTGCGTAAGGCAGCCAAGCTATGGTGAAGAAGACAATAGCGAACATGCACATTTTGTTGATGTTTCTTAGATTTCTGAAGCAAAGGTTGACAAAGTAGTAATTACTTTCACTGGTATTCTTGTTGATCACCTTTCGGATTTTGGCGAGGTATATTGTCGATACAGAAACAGGAATGATGTAGGCCATGGTCAGTAGAAACATCACATATACTCGTCCGCTTGTGTTTTCGGGAGACCATTGTGGCACGCAGTTTGTACCAGCTCCTTCGATGCTCATTTCAGTTATTCCAGTCAACGGAGGAAGCATTGCACAGACGGAATACAACCACACACCAAGCAGAACCTTGGTTTGTGAGTTGTCGCGTTCAATTCTRTTACCCACAAATGGCTTGTTCTTCACCAAGAGGTAGATTTTYACTGTAATAACTGCCATTGTTGCTATCATTGATACGCTTCCTGTTCCTGCGACAAATCCAACAAAATGGCAGATCTTATCATTGAAGATCCACCCTTTCATCACAGAGGAAACGAAAGTAAACGGCAGACTTCCATAAAGCAAAAGAAAGTTCGAAGCAATTATGCTTAAGAAGCACGGTGTTAGAATTTTTTTGCGATACTCCCGTTTCAGCAGGACTATGAACATGATCAACTGGGTGCAGGATCCAGCCAATAGAAGGAAAGCTGAATATACTGACACTGCCTTGTAGCCTGTTGATGACAGTCGTTTATATGAACCATCCATAATGAAAAGAATATAGTCTGGTCGAAAACCTATGGAAAGAAAAAAGATAATACTTTGTAAGATAGCCATGAAAGGTTAGAGAGAGCTGCATGACTAGTGAAGATGAGTTTCGGTAGACATGTTGTCCGCCAGCAACAATGCCGTGATTTTTTGTGAAAAGAGACTTCGTTTTCCAAAGAATTCATTAAACCTTCTCGATCTGCTATATTTTTTTATACTTAGAACTAACCCGAGAAGGCAAGGCAAGGCAAGGAAAAAGAAAACAAAAGATCATTCCGATGGCTGTACCAATATCATGCATCCACGAGTAAAAAAAAAAAAAAAAATCCCCCTAGTGCTAATCGAAAAACCGTGGGCACCTAGAAATATTAATATTGCGTGCAGGAAGATAACAGGAACCTTTCTGATTGATTACAAAACCATCTTGAAATATTTCTAGGTGCCCACGGTTTTTCAATTTGCATTGTAATTCAGTCTATTCGACGACTAAACTTTACTTTCGCGAATAAGTAATGATTGATTGAATGAAGAATGAATAAATGACTTCAAGGTAAGTAGCTTAAATGGGAGAGCGAAAAGAAATATATATGTATCAACCAGTCATCAAGGCCGAAAGTGAAAATCTGTTCCCTGCTAGCAGAGTCTCTCTTCTCTTTCTCTCCCTTCTTTCAGGCGGGGAGGAAGGAGACAGTCTATTTTTCTCTCTCAACCAAAACAAAAGGAAAATAGGCTCTGCTAGCAGGGAAGAAAATCTGGAACTCAAAAAATGAATATATATGAAGGTGTTTTTGCTGCATCGATAGTTATTAAACTGAGATTTTTTTTTTTGAGTATAATTTCTTCAAGCATATATTTTTCACACGAATCAACTCTTTCGAATAGATTAGTTACGACTTACCCTTCTATCGAATATAAACTCTTTCCATTTCTTTCAAACCAAGTTTTCACGGTGTCATTTTGGCTGAGATCAGTTCCGAAAATGTTACATAATAAAACATTACGCCTTTATGAACGAGGAAAGGTGCGACGTCATTAACATCAAAGCTGCCGCCGTTTTGAGAAATGAGCCGGTCAGAAATAACCTGTCAGCGGTATTCAGTTAAATTGCATATTCGTATAGCGCTTGCAATATCGTACTGGACAGAGAAAATATCTTCTCCTGTGGGGAGGAGAGGGGTCAATGTGGCACACACTTCTGGAAGTGTACTGACATTACCTAAAGGCTTTTGTTTTGTTTTCTCCTTTGTTTTTGTTTTTGTTTTTYCCCCCGAATGTTTAACTCTGAAAGCATTTGTAGTTGTTTTATATTTCACCCTAGAAAAACAACACGACCATGCCGCCAATTTTGCATCGCAATTAAAGAAATAGTCATACATTTTGACGCAATTGCTCTTTAATTAACTCATGGGAGTGGCATCCGACTTCTTTGTCATAACAAGAAATCTCCAAAAATTATTGGTGGAGCCACGATGGTTTCACTTTTCATTTTTTTATTTTTGGCTTATAAAATCAATATACACCGCGGTACCTTTTCAAAGGGTGAAACTGAAAAAAAAAAAAAAAAAAGGAAAATTTTATCACATCCATTAAATAGATAAAACACTAAATTTTTTACCTTTTTGTCAAATAAAAAGGTACATACCATTTCTAATAATTTGAATTTATTTTTAAAATCTATAAAAAAGTTAAGAAAGAAAAAAATTGTAAGAGACTTTATTGGGATTTTTGGGATCTAACTTCGCGATTTTACAAGAAAGCAGAATTACCACGATCAGTCACTGATTGTATATTTGTGAAGATTTGTGAATATTTTGACGTTAAACTGAGGCTAACGCTGTGTAAATGAAAGTGTAGTTATCAAGGAACACAGCTCGGTATTTTACGAATTCGACTAGGACAGCTATGTTCAAATCGAATTTACGTATCTGCAGGATAATATACAGCTATTTCAAAAAAATTTGAATACTGAGAACTGCATACCGAATGGTTCATTCAAAAACCGAAGTGCATTGTGGGTCATAGTGACATTGTCTAAAGTAGGATTAATAATTATTATTTATCCTATTTTTAGTACATTCTATCCGAATCAATATACTAACTACATGTAGAGAGTTAATTGCTATATATTTACTTTTTATTTTAAATTAACGAGACCCAAAATGCCCTTTGGTCTTTGAAAGCACTATTCAGTATGCAGTATTCAGTATACAACCTTTTTTGAAAAAGCTGTATAAGCTACAAAACTTCAACCCGCAATATCCATAAAACAGAACTATGTATAACTAGCACCGAATAGAGCGTTTTCACTTTGCGTCACAGTGGCCAGGTTGGTGTACCAAAACAATACAATACTCCAGTTTCGGGTTCTCTTTGCTCAGTCTTACTCTCGTTTGTGCGTTATAATATTCAACTATTCAACTAAAACCAGTGGCATTTTAATCAACTCGTATTGTTCCGTAGTACATACATTCCTTACTTTACAATGGACCTTAATGGAAGAAAAGAACACATTGTACACAATCGAGGCTAAGACTGAGAAAAGGCGAACTCGAAATGGGAGTATTCTACCATCCTCTAGTATTGAGCTCTATTCTTATGCAAAAACTGTGCAGAAAGTTTGCTACACCAATATGTGTGCACTAAAAACACAATCTACCAACAATAACATCCTACTATTTTTAATTTAGTGCTGCTTCATAGAATAAGTTTGAGAACTCTAAAGGGTTGTAATCAATTTGAAAATTCCCATTTAATTTATTTCTTCTCGATACCCAGATTACATCATAAGTTATTTATAACTTAAAAGTAATAATGCTAAATAAATTATATATATAGGTCCCACCAATTAACTTTGTAGACAAATTAGGAACCCATAAGATACCCTTGCAAAGCCAGTTACAAAACTATTATTTGTAATATTTTTTTTTTACATGTATTAGACATATAAGGATTTAGGATGAGAGTTTGGAATTACTAAGTCGACTTCACGCCATATATATCCGTGAAACGATCACTACCCATGTAAAAATCGCTTACATATAGTTGCCAACTACTATGGGCCAAATGCAAAACTTGCACCGATGTGAGGCTTAAGTTGTGAACAAAGGGATCTGGCATGATTCGTGACTTTTGAATCACGCCAGATTGCTTTGAAACACGCCAGATCCCTTTGATGCGTTCTTAAGTAGTGGCAACAACCCAGATATATAATAAAAACTCATTTATGTGTTAGTCTGTGATAAGAGTTTTCTGGGTTTTTCTTGGTGTAGCAAGCTTTATTGTATTCTGGGATCCTTGTTTTGCAGGGTTTAGCTCCAAATTCATTATCCTGGACCATTGTTTTATTGTCTTCATGCCTCAGACTTTGATTACAGCGCTTCTCAGTCACATGCGTGAAATCGTAAAATTTGCCATCGTGACGAAGTGGGTTTTGGTGGACGTCAATCAATGCGTTTCCATGACCTTTGTGTTTTCTGACAATGCTGCGAAAAACTTTGATTGGCGTCCACCAAAACTCTATTATGTCTCAAAAATGTTTTTCACGATTTCGCGCGTGATTGAGATGCGCCGTAACATGATGCATGTGGTGTAGCTTGGGTACAAACAACACCACATATGGCAGGATAAATGTTTGTAACCAAGCTTGACCATAATGCATTTTTTATCAAACTCAATAAAGAAGTCTATGTCTGCTCACTGTGTTAAGCATTGGGGTCAAAATTAAGACTTCAACATATAAAATCCAAATAAGATGAGGATTTACAACAATTAATTAAGTACTATAGACCCCTTGCAGTACTTCGGAATGCAGCTCAATTTGAGGGCGGTTTCCAATTGTAGGGAGATTGAAATTATTTCGTTTTGTCCTCCAAATTGAGCTTCTTTGACGACATAGCAAAGGTTCTATTGCTGGACATCAAATTATGATGCACAGTCTTCATTATGCAGGAATACTAAAACACCTCTTATTATCTCGGATGGACTAGAAGCTAATATGAAATTACAAAACAAGTGATACAAATCCCATTGAGAAAAAGCGTGATTTATTTTGTATCTTCATATTAGGGTGCAAACAATTAATCCGTGAAACACTAATTACAAAATAGTACAAAATAGTGCTAATTAAGCAATAGAAAACAATGGAATTTGCAAGAAATTGTGCTATTTAGTACATTTAGTATTACTAAAGTTTCATGGATATATTGTTTGCACTCTAACCTCGAATCCAAGATAATTTTGAGAATAGAAGGGTCTATTTTTGAACAGCAATCTAAAAACAAAGCAAACTTATTTGTATACTACTTGTAAAAAAAAACTTACAAAAACACCTAACACAAACAAAAGAATGAAAAAAAGCAAAAAACGGACGTTGCGACGAGTATCTACAGATTCGAATTTTTTATATTCTTATAATATATTCTTACCAATTATGGTTTCATAATTAATTATTTAATAAATAGCCTATACTGCATTATATTTTGTCAGTTAATAATCATATCATGGTTTCTAAGGTTCCCCAAAAGCATCATTGATTTTTGTCAAGTGTCGTATAGCTAGGTCCTCTGGTAGATGGAAATCAAAGGGCTGTAGTCGTTCAAGATATGTTAATGCTTCGGTCATTCCTGTGGAAAGAACAAGTGAAAAGGATTGAGTGATCGTTTACGTAACATAATGGATGGGCGGATGG